GGCGGCGGCGGCGCAGGGGGTGGCCCCGGGGGGGGCAGGGAGCTGGAGATGCACACCATCAGCTCCAAGGTGTTTGGGGACATCCTCGACTTTGCCTACACGTCCCGCATCGTGGTGCGCCTGGAGAGCTTCCCTGAGCTCATGACTGCTGCCAAGTTCCTCCTCATGCGCTCAGTCATTGACATCTGCCAAGAGGTCATCAAACAATCCAACGTGCAGATATTAGTCCCGCCAGCAGCTCGCCCTGACATCATGCTTTTCCGCCCTGGCGCTGCCACCACTGATCTTGGGTTCCCCCTTGACATGACCAATGGCACTGGACTCGCACCCAATGGCAATGGAATCGCTGGAATGCCTGAAGATGAGGCCACCAGGGCCGCGCTCTCTGCAGCTGCCCAGTCGTCCTTGCCCGTCCTGCAGGGTGTAGACCGCCTGCCCATGGTAGCAGGCCCGCTGTCCCCACCCCTGCTGGCTTCACCCTTCCAGAACGTCAGTCCTGCTGCTCCCTCCTTGAACAGCAAAAGGGGAAGGGGCCGACCCCGCAAAGCCAACCTTTTGGACTCCATGATGTTCAGTGCGCCGGGGGGCTTGAGGGATGCTGGTATTCTTCCTTGTGGCCTCTGCGGGAAAGTATTTACGGATGCCAACCGCCTGCGGCAGCACGAAGCTCAGCACGGGGTCACCAGCTTACAGTTGGGCTACATAGACATCCCACCGCCGAGGCTTGGTGAAAATGGGGTGCCTGGTCTGGATGACTCCGAGGCCCCCCGAAAGAGAAGCCGGACAAGAAAGCAGGTGGCTTGTGAGATCTGTGGGAAGATTTTTCGGGACGTGTACCACTTGAACCGGCACAAGCTGTCGCATTCTGGTGAGAAGCCTTACTCCTGCCCGGTGTGCGGGTTGCGGTTCAAGAGGAAAGACAGAATGTCCTATCACGTTCGGTCCCACGATGGGTCTGTGGGGAAGCCTTACATTTGTCAGAGCTGCGGAAAAGGTTTCTCTAGGTAAGATAATGGGTTCTGAAAGTTGATAAGAAAGACGCTTGTTAACGTCTTAACCACCCTTTTGGTGGCCAACATAATGGTAGTCCATTCTCTCAAAGACCTGCATGGAAGTCTACCTCACTGCTCCACCAGTTGAAGTGGAACTTTGTAAAAGCTACAGTAGACTGAAGGCATATGCTCCTCGAAGGCCACAGGCAAGGAGCAGCCTTATACTTCCCATCTCAGCTCAGTTGTGCCATAATTCCGTAATGTTTATTATAGTAAACATGTAATGTGTGGAGGGGAAGGTGCATAAGACCAAGCACATGTGCTGTGGAGATGCAATGGCCTGTGGCTCCCTGGTGATTGTCCAGTGTGTGGTGGGAGGGGCATGGCACCTTGACAACCATTTCATGTTTGTTGTGGAAAACAGTGATGCATTCAGGCTGTCACAGGCAAAGGGGACTCTTAACAGCCTGACCCTATTCGTGTGCATTCAGAAGTAAGTTCAGCTGTGTTGAATATGGTTTGCTCCCAGGAAAGCGTACACAGTATTGCATCCTTTTAGAGAGCAAACCTCAAACTCCATGGAGTTTGCTTCTGGGTAAATGCATTCAGAATCGCACGGCAAGACATCACAGCTGTTTAGTGGACATGTAGCTAGGAAAGCTGTGTGCATTTGCTGGGAGGAGAAGGAGGCTTCTTGAGAGATTGGAAATCCACAGAGGAGGGGGAGGTGGTGCTGCTAGGTGCAGGAATTCTTAGGTGCAGGATCTGATTTGGAAAACAGCACATTGCTTATAGTTTTCGTGGAGTATCAAAGGGTTTGTGGGTTGCTCTGGTCATGTAGCCCTTATAAAACTTATTGGAGTTCGTTTATTTACTTCATTGATATGTCACTTTACTTCCCAATGGGGACCCAGTGTGGATTACAACATTTCCCCTATTTTATCCTGACAACCACCCTGTGAAGTCAGTTACACTTAGTGTGTGTGACAGGCCCAAGGTCACTAGGCAAGCTTTTATAGCAGAGTGGAGATTTGAACCTAAGTCTACCTGATCCTAGTCTGAAACTAACCGGCAGACCCTTTTGGCTTAGTTAATGAGGCTTCTCATGAGGAGAATGAAATGAACAGTATTTTTTTCTAGCATTTTGCCATTTTACAAATTGGGTGTATTGCAAGATTATCATGGGGGAGATCAGTTCTGTTTTTGTGTTGCAGTATGTAGATATGAGTGGCATGAATTCTTTCCCCAGCTTTGTCAAGCAGAACTTAGGCATTCCTTTTCCTCCCCCCCCCCTTTAGGAGCAGATGAGAATGTTTGGAATGATATCTGCCTGTATGTGATGACCTTGATCACATCCAGATTCATGGACTGATGGCAGATTCGTATGACTTTTTTTTTTTTTTTAAGCACAGGGCAGTATTCTCTGTCACCTTTATGGTGATGCCCATGTCAAACCAGGACTTCAACCTGGCTTCCTCAACTACTGCTTTAGAAAATCAGGTTTGTTCAAGGGATGACACCAAATGCTTGTGGTGTCCCACTTCAGTGTGGATCTCTCCGTGGGGCTAATGTTCAGGAGGAAAGCATAGTAGCAAGAGAGGAATGAGGGTACAAATCGTGCCTTGGTTCCAGTGGATTTCAACAATTTCCTACATTGCACTTATTGTATTATACATTGCACTCTAGTTTGACAGGCCATTGGGCTGCAGTCCTGTGTAAATTCACTAGGGGATGAGATAACCCCCACTGAATACAGTCAACATTCTAAGTGTGCATGCACATAGGGTTGGGCTGTAAAAGGCCATCCTGTAGATCCTGTTGTAAGCCTTTCCAGATGGCCCCCCCCCAATGCCATCTCCAGTGCTCCTGTATTTTTGTGCTTGTGCCAGCTGCCACTTATTTTTCAGTGGTTCTGACATACATATGCACATTTTAAAGAAACATGGCAATGGTGGTGCAGCGCCCCCCCTGATGAGTAGGCGCGGGCTGTTCCCACGCGGAAGGGAGGGGTTCGCAGCTTAACTAAAGCATCTCTGGCATAGACCCATGTTTAAGCCCTATATCCTGCCAAGACATGCGTGTGTTCATTTGTGCTTGTAGGAGCTTGGAATATACTGATTTGAATGCTGGGAATTTGTCAACATCTTATGAAAACAGAGTTCGCGGAAATGGAAAATTAAGGGTTTTTCCTGAAACTTTTTTTCTTTAAGGTTTGCTTAGCTGTTCTCCCCAACCCTTGATTGGTCATAGGAACCTACAAAGGTGCCTGGTACTGAACCAGATCTTTGGTCTGTCATGCATAGTGCACTTTATTCTGTCTAGCCAAGGTCTCAGACATGCATCCCTCATCCTTGCTGCTTGAGATCCTTTTAACTAGAATTACAGGGATTGAACCTGGATATATCAACATGCAAAACATGTGATCTGCCTCTGAGCTGAGGCCCTTTAGGCTCCTGGCTTTTTGGAATTGTTCTGAAGTGAATCCAGCATTGAGGTTTGACTGATCACAGACTATGAAGTTGCAGCCTCTGGTCTGTGTAATCTCACATTTATCTCTGTTTTATTAAAGGGTAACATTCTTCTGTGCAAAACCAGATGAAATGATCAGTAGCTGTGCAATTGGGGGGGGATTGTTCCCTTAATCTTTAAATCAAATGGCTGTCTTTTACTTCCCAGTTAAAAATCTGGAAACATACAGTGCAATCCTGAGGTTACTTCCCTGGGAGTAAATCCCACTGAGTAGACCTGCTTGGGATGGCACTGTTAATATGTGTAGGTGAAACATGCAGCTGGTAGAGCTCAGAAAGCAATCTGGTGGTGGTGGGGTTCTAACGTAAATCCTATTGTCAAAGGCAGGACTGGCATAAGACATTTTGCCATTCCAAGTGACTTCCTGGTGGAATATGAGAGTTACACTGCAGGATCGTTGTAATTTTGCAAGAGATTCTTTGTGTGCACCTATTGCATTCTTGCACTGCTTCAGTGGTCCTGCTATAAGTACCTTTGCCCAAAGAATGAACTTGGGTTGTTTGTCCAGTTGGCCAGCCCTGGTTCAAGAAGAATGGGCATTGTTATGGGCAACAGAGTCCACTTGGCGTTTTGTTTTTGCTTTGCTATTTCAGTACTCCTGTCCAGCACTAGACCTGAATTGTTGGTTTGTTGAAGGGCAGCAAGAAGTTACGAGTAAACTGTAAGATTCTTCTCTGGTGGAATATGAAAGTTACACTGCAGGATCGTTGTAGTTTTGCAAGAGATTCTTTGTGTGCACTTATTGAATTCATGCACCGCTTCAGTGGTCCTGCTATAAGTACCTTTGCCCAAAGAATGAACTTGGGTTGTTTGTCCAGTTGGCCAGCCCTGGTTCAAGAAGAATGGGCATTGTTATGGGCAACAGAGTCCACTTGGCGTTTTGTTTTTGCTTTGCTATTTCAGTACTCCTGTCCAGCACTAGACCTGAATTGTTGGTTTGTTGAAGGGCAGCAAGAAGTTACGAGTAAACTGTAAGATTCTTCTTGCAATAAACTGACTGGAATGGCAGTTGAACTGAGAATTTCCTGCAGCAAAAATCAAAACCCTCTGTTCCCACCCCTGTCCTTTTCACAAAGACCAAAAAAAAGAGGAGCAGTTGTTTAAGACTTTTCCCCACTTTGGATATATTGAAATTCATCTTGTATCACTTCTTGGTGTACAAGACAGTGGTAGCTTTTGTGGAATCCATCAAATTTAGGTACATATATTGCTTCAGAGTCTGGATGTCTGTACATTTACTGTGAAATAAATGCCATGACTTTCAGGGGAACACATCACCAACCAAGCGTTCTTGGGATTGGTGCCTTTGACAAGTCCTGTTGACACAAATGAGACGTCTGAGTAAGCATAGTTAGGATGGGGCCATTATACTCCAGTCGTAATAACATTTACTTGAAAATAAGTACATTCAAAATTGAGGCATTACAGACCAAACCTAGGTATTCTTGCATGGAAATAACAAATCTTAGAGGGACAGTGATGCAGTCTTGTTGTTCAAACTCAGTTAAGGACAACCCCTGCAATCTTTTAAGCTTGAGACACAGGAAGGACTTATTTCCATTCCCCCCCCTCCAAATGAAGAAAAAGCCTTTTCTTTTGTTGGAAGAAAGACTAATAAAAACTAAGGGACAACAAATCCTGTTACAGCCTTCGTTCACCTGAGCATTACATGTGCGCAACAAACTGTCTTAAAAAGAGGTTCTGAAATGTTGTCTAGCCAAAGTTTTTACTGATCTAAGAAAGGAAGGTTGTCAACTTTCCCAGATTTACGTTTCAAGAGTGGCTTGACTGTTAGAGCAGCTTTAATGTAGGAGTTTGCAGGTGATGTGTGGCATGCTGATGTCTTGAACCAGAGGCCACAATGTGTATTTTCTAGTATATTGGGAACCAGGACCTAAAGGTCCATTATAAAAAAGGAGTCATACCTGTGCTTTTGGCGCCGTCGAGATTGCTGAACTTTTAGTTTAAATTTGAGTTGTGATGTTTAATTGATTGGGGAGTGGCCATGGCTCAGTGGTAGAGCATCCTCCTTGCATGGAGAAGGTCCCAGATTCAATCCCCCTCCTGCATCTCCAGTTTAAAAGGGATCAGGTAGTAGGTGATGTGACAGATCTGCCCCTGAGCTGCTGCCAGTCAGAGTAGACATTAATGACCTTGATGGATCAATGGTCTGACTTGGTATAAGACAGTTTCATGTGATTAACTGGCTTGTTTGATTGCTTGCTTGGAGACCTTTCAAATGATTTTCAAAAGCACTCCCAATTAATCAGCTGTCATTTTTTTTAAAAAAAAGGTCTTCCTTCTTTCTCTTTTCTTCTAAACTGGAGCCTGCCATGTTTCTCTCCCCACAGCAGGACTAGTAGTAGTCTCTTGTATGTTTACAGTGTCAGTAATAAAAAATGAAGCTGGTTAGCGATGTCATCATCAAGGCAAAACATCATACCAGTCAGGCCAGAGCAGACTTTAAGAGCTCACTTCTGCAGATTTCCTTATTATTATTATTAATTTGATTTGTTAATTGGCCTATTCTTGCTTGTGCAGGACTATGGGTGATGTACAACAAAAAGGCATAGAGCCATAAAACAAATATACCAAATATTGAAATTTCAATAATAACAAAATTAAAATAAGAGAATTAAAAGGAGACCAGGTTGAAAAGAAGTCCAAGATGGCATCCCTAGAAACTGAAGTTGGTGAGGCTTACTTCCAAGTAGCCTGATCCAAAAAGCATGTTTTTCCATCTTCAGGTTTTTTGGGTGTACACATTTACGCAGATTTAATCTGTTAATTGATTTCTTTTAGCTGAACAGCATCCCTTACTTTAAAATCCTAAGAAGAGCTCTAGAAATCTGTGTTAATGTTTGCAACAGCCCTTAAAATTGAGAATTGATTCATGGGGCATTGTTGCCATGACGCTGGAGGGTGTCTCTGAGCATACAAGAGGCTTTTAGACCCAAACCAGAGTATCCAGTTGGACAGGTCCACCCCACCTGCCTTTTGCATCAGTCTTAACAACTGAAGAGCTGTTTTATCTCCTGTCTCTCCAGATTCCATTGAGACCTATGTAATTGGCTGAAGACAGAAAAACTGGGGGAGGAGGGTGGGATAATTAGTTTCCAAGCAGCTTTTGGGTTTCAGACAATGCAAGGCTTTCTTCCCACCAGGGAGGGAAAAAAACCCTCCCCCTAAGAAAAGCAGCAGCTTTTCAGGCTCCCTATATTCAAAACAAGACTGGAAAAACAGACCTAACACAGCAATAATTTTCAGTTTCTCTTGCATTCTCTAATGGAGATTTTCAGAATTTGTGGGATTAAGGTTACAGTCTTAACAAACACAATAGTCCTATTGCTTGGGAAGTCCTCCCTCTGAACCCGGCTGGTTCACTTAGAAAGCACTCTGTCCAGCAAATGTTAGCTGTGGGCAAGGACTCTGGAAATCCAAGGCTTAAGAGCATGAAGCCCAATTCTTTACATGTTTACTTGGAAGTAAGTCCCACTGAGTCCAGCAGGTGTTATTCCTCAGTAAGTGTGCATGGGTTTGCAGACTAAGAAGAAGGTAAGATCCCTGACTGCCAGGGCGAGGACGTTTTCTGTGGTGACCTCATCTTTAGAATGGGCTGCCTTTTCTCAGTTCAGGAGGCAGTGTAAAGCTGCATTGTTGAGGTGGGTTGTCTCCTGACTTGATTCCAATGCTGTTTAGTTGTATTATTGTTTTTAATATGTCAGCTTTCTGGCCACCTTTAATTTGTTTTGTGCAGTGAGGAAAAGCAGCATAAAAACATAGTAAGTAAATAAGTAACGTAAATCCTATTGTTTTCAATGAAACATCACAGCTGGCTTGGGCTAGGTTTTGTTCTGTGGAAAAGTTTGAAGTAAACCTGCATAAAAGCAAGTGTCTCAGATCACCTCCCCCTCCCATTTTTGAGAGAGAGAGAGAGAGAGAGAGAGAGAAAGAGATCCCATGATGAGCCGCCAGCTTGAAAATGTTTTGGATAGCTTATTTTTTTCCCTTGAAACTCAGCACCCTGGAATTGAATATGTTGCCTTAATGATTCTAGCTTCTATTTGGTTAGATTGCATTTTGCAATCTTGGAAATTTACTTTACTTATATATTTATAATTTAGACACCCCATTTTCAGACACTGCATGCAGGGAAGGATACAAAAGTACTTAAAACAAACTATATATAAAACCTCTCAGACAGCTTATATGGCTAAAGTTTTCAAATGAGTGTGTGAAAAGCAATTTCTAGATCTCTAGCTTCTGTAGAAATAGCAGTTGTCCAGGTGCTCACCACTTACTGTGTATCAGGTAAAAGTTGTGAACGGCTGTATTAGCCTGCACAAAATCCAGAAAGGGGGAGGGGCATGTAATACATTTTATTGAGGCCAACGTGATGGCCTCAATAAAAAGTGTTTATATGACTTTGTTTCCTTTTATGAATTAGATAGGTCTTCTGGTCTTGTAGCCTGCTTTGGAAATGTTGTCCAAGATCAGTTAACTCTGGCTCATATCCTCATCTGAGAAGAAATACATGGTATGACTGGAATCCTGCAGACTGGAATCCAGTAGAAGTTGGTGAGACTTATGCTGCATAGCTGTGCACAGGACTGCAGCAGTTGTTTTGAAAGGAAATTTGTGGAATAAGGTGTTTGTACAGAGCATAAAATATTGGTGAGCCACATGGGTAAAACATAACTGATGGCGTGAGTGATTTGCACAGCTTAACTAATGTGTCAACTGAAAATCTTAGTTGGTTTGGATGCAAAAGTAATTGTAGATTTATTCATTCTTTTTGTACGTTTTCTTTTTTAAAGGCCTGACCACTTGAACGGGCACATCAAACAGGTGCACACGTCAGAGAGACCTCACAAGTGTCAGGTAGGAATGGCGGGGGGGGGGGGGGGGGGGGGAGGAGGGTATGCAATCGTAAAAGAAGGTGTGAGCATGCAAAGAATATGGAAGCGTATTTTATGATAGCGGGGGTGGCCATTCCTTGCAAATGTCCCCAGGAGACTGCCTGCTCCTTCGCATCTCTGTCTGTGCCGGCCCCATCCTCATCCTGATGTCATCAGTTGTGTCTCTGGCTCTTCTGCATCCCCTCCCCCTTCCCAGATGTTCCTTCCTGCGTCTCAGGCTAAGCCCCCACCCTGGATCTGTTTCTTTGCAGCTTCGTCTTTGTCAGTACTGCAGATGGTTTCTCTCTTCTCTTCTGTGTGCCCACCAACAGGTGGCTCACGTGTCGTCTTTTAATTTTAGAAAAATTCTAGTTAGTAATTACGCATTAAGATGTTACAGCTCACTCCCCCCCTCATCCCCACTTTGAACAGCCTTCAGAACATTGCACTGAGCAAAATTGGAAGCTTTTTCTTTTTTCTCCCCCCAGCGAGGAGCAATGTGTAGTATCAGCTCAGTATTAACTGTGACACTGTATATGTGTGTGTTTTCAGTTACACATATGTTTATGCTTTAGTATGAAGAAAAACTTGGTTAGACCTTTTACATTTAAACTGAAATGACAGATCACATTCATTATTATATTAATGGGGATTTCTGTTTTTTGAATGAGGTTGTTTGTAGACACCAGGACTTGATGCAGATGTCATATTTCCCAGATCGCTGCAACTTTCCCTTCCTGTTCATGCACAATCTCCCCCGCCCCCCCCTTAAGGTTCATTAGTAAATACAATCATTGTTAACCTTTCATAAAGTGAACCAGGGAGGGGAGGGTGCCCCTAAATTGTTACTTTCGGAACCTGGCTTTAATAAAGAAGCATCTCTCGACTCCTTTTAAGTGATTGTTAATAATGGTCACATACAAGGCAATGCCAGGATTTTGGAACCCTTTAGGTGGTCCCCTGAATCTTGAAGGAGTTGGGAGTATAAGCTGATTAATTCAAGATGAGTAGCTGTCTTAGTCTGTCTGTAGCAGTAGAAAAGAACAAGCATCCAGTAGCACCTTAAAGACTAACAAAATTTGTGGCAGGGTACATGTTTTCGTCAGGGTCGTAGCCAGAAAATTTTGATTGGTGGGGCATTGGGAAATCCCGTGGGACACTTGCTCATCCTTCGAAAATGAAATGCTCAACCAGCAAGTTTTTTTTACAAAAAGCAACTAACAGGTGCCTGGTTGCTGTTGCCGCCACTGCCACTGCTGCAAAGCGCCTTGACATATTCCGGCTGGGGCTTGGTGCAATACCCATCCCATCGCAGCAGGTAAGAGGGGACTCCCTAGTTGCCAGCACAGTGCAGCTCATCACAACCTAGGCTTGGCTGGTGGCTTGAGGGGGGGAGGGCTGAATGACAGGGAAGTGTAAGACAAGGAAAACTGTGGAGGAAGACTTCTTGACTTTCTGTCTCCCCACGACTCAGGCGCTGAAGAATAGGCGACCCCCTCCCTTTCAGCAGCTTGCTGGCAGCCTTGAAAAGCCAGCGGGCACTGAGGAGGACGGAAAGAGAGAGAGGGCGGAGGAGGAGGGGGGCACCTGGTTGCTGTTGTTGCTGCTGCTGCTACTGCTGCAAAGTAGCTTGATGCATTCCAGCCAGGGCTGGTGTGATTAATATTTGGCAAGGTGGCTAACAAGCACTCCAGCCATGCAGCCTCCACCTCCATGCCCACTGCCGGACTGGCAGGTAAGGACACAGTCAGGGGCAGCAGGAGTCGTGGGGCGTGGGCCTTGAGCGATGGGGCATGTGCCTCTAAGTGCCCCACTGTGATTACGCGCCTGGTTTTCATGAGTCACCACTCACTTATTCAGATCTGAAGAAGCAAGCAGTGACTCACAAAATCTCATACCCTGCCACAAATGTTGTTAGTCTTTAAGGTGCTACTGGACTCTTGCTCTTTTCTACGGCTTAATTCAGTTATTCTTGGGTGTTCTGCACAAAGAATGTCAGCTCTGTTAGGGAAGAAGACCTTTAGTCTTGGGGCCTTGGCAAATGCCTGTCCTTGCTGTCCTCTGAAGCCAACTCGTTGTTTGCAAAACCATCTTATTTGCCACCTTGAGTTTAAGTTAAGGTAGAGTGACCCCCCCCACTTCTTAATAACTAAGACAATCCCTCCTAAAGAGGCTGGATGAGTAGGCTTGTACAGAAAGAGGTGTACCCTGGTGCAAGTTGACCTCAGGCGTTTGGGACTTTAGAAGTTAATCTGGGGCCCAGTGGGTAACAGGCAAGCCGTGCAGATCCTGCAAATATGAGCCTGCCTCCTTGTCCTCAGTTAGTAGGTGGGTGCCTGACTTCTGTCCTACCTGATGCTTTCGAACATTTTCCAAAGGTACGCCCATGTCGGCTGTGTTTCACTTTGGCAGAAATCCGGAAATACTAGTGAAATCTGCCAGACAAACTCCTTTAAAAAATCTTTCATAAATATTTGCTTGTACAGCAACTTTTCTTTTTTTGCTTAATTACTTTTCCAGCCAAAATTTTGTTTTAGTTTTGAGGGAGGGGAGTGTCCCCTGTAGAACTTTAGAGTAAAATCCATACTCTTCCTTTCTCCTGCCCCTTCTTTCCAGGTGAGTCATGGAGGGATAGGGAATTCTAAGTCCACATTTGCCAACCGAGGCTATGCTTTGTGTGACTGCTGATTCCTAACCTGGAGATTTCAGTAGTGCCTTAGACATATTCCCAGACACAGATTCTAGGTCCCTGACTATATTACATGCACTGCAAATCAGGTTGCTAAGGAGCTGGCTGAGATGATCTGTTTGCTGCCTTTCCCTCTGCTGATCTTTTCCATGTTGAGTAATACAAAAGGTGTTTGGAGGCTCAGCAATCTTCAGTAGCCTCCAGGTTTTTACTTGTGGGGATTGTGGATTTTTATTTTGGTTTTTGTGCAATGAAATGTTTCTTTGCCAGTTTTCATTCAGAGTGCCACAGTAGCAAACCTTCCCACAGGGAGTGGGAAACTCACAAATGCAAAGCCTGGGTGTGACCATTTTGGCACAGTATAGTTAATTTCTGCATAGTTGCAGGCTTTACCATGTTCCGGCACTAGTCGAAAAGACCAGCCCTTTGAAAAAGAAAAGGCAAAGAGATCCCTTCAGGCCTGGAGTTGTGGGCAACTACCCTGTAAGCGTATAGGCCTCCCAGAAAGACCTACGTTCACCATTAAGAGAGCAAATCTTATAAATGTCATTTTCACCAAAGTTCAAAAGCTAGGACACCAAAGACAGCTGATTTTAAGCTACCTTTCTTATATTCCAGCTTGCTTTAGAGGTAGCAACCCAAATTGTGATGAGGATATTGGGGAGTCTTGGCAGTCCTAAAGCAGCAGCCTGATAGTTGTGTACAGGATTAGCCCACTCAGGCGAGGCCAGGGATTAAAGGGAATACTGTACTTTTCGGTACATTAAACAACAAACCACGAGATGGTCTATATCCTCTCTGGTTTTCAGAACAATATGCCACCAGAATCTCTTTTCACTAGTCCCTGCTTTTCCTAAGGGAGAGATTCCAAACCCTTAGTTGGCATCTGGGACAGAACACATTAGCAACTCAATCCAGAGATGCATACTTTTTACCCTCCAATGGTAGCGTATGTGGTCAGGGTTAGGCCCAAGACTTAGACTTGGAATCCAAGTTACAACATCAAAGACAAATTAGCAATAAGAAGAATCTTTATTCAGTACAGAGCACAGCAAACAGACTAGGAGATTACAAAATAACAAAGGCTAGGGCAATTTGTCTTAACTACACATTGAAGATATGAATGAATGAATTTTATTGTTACGGCACCCAGCCAGCAAAATAAAACCATAGAAATACAAATAAACTACAATGGCCTAATAGTAAAATTTCCAAAGTGCAACAAGGTACTAAAAAATAACATTATACAATCATTTTGGTCGCTAAAACCAGACTTAAGATTACAATAAAACACGATAAAAGGAAAAGAACTGAGATGACTTGGAAAGAGTAAAAGTTAAAATCAAACAGTCCTAACCGAAGTGACAACCAGGGCACTGATGAGCTTTTATAACCAAGGAGCAAAATTTTGCAATCTGATGGAGCGCTGTATGTTCAAGGTTAAAAAACAAGTTTTCCATCTTATCCTGATCAGACGTGCCTGCCAAAAAAGGCTCAATGAGTTTTGTGCGCGCCTCTTCAAATAACGGGCACCTTAAGAATACATGCTCCTGAGATTCGATCTCCCCCAACGCGCACATACATAACCTCTCTGTTCGGGGTAATTTTTTAAATTTGCCCGTTTATGGCATGGTTATTGAGGCCATTTGGCCTCACCATTTGGCTTGCAACAGGAAACAAGACACAGCATGTTATCAAAAGACATCACAGGAGAAGGCATGTGAATATAAAAGCAATATTTCTATACAAGTTGTTGTGTACAGAATCCAAAATGGCTCCTGTTGACTTCTGTGAAAGTTGGGAGGAGCTCATCACCTTCAGACATGAGCTGCAAGCCTTTGGAATCAATAAAGCAGCTTAATGTGTCTCAGGCCTCAAACTGGGTTAAGATCTATGACCATAAATTTATTTGAACCAGTAAAAAATAATTCCCTTCTTCAGATTGGTGGGAAATAAAGGGGTGTCCAGCATGGTGTGCTGAGGATGCAATGTAGGATTTTAAGAATACATATTTTTGTATCTGGATATAGCAGTTTGTAGTTATAGGTCAATTCAGGGAGCTATAAATTTTCAAATCTGAAGCAACTTAAAGAGTATGAGGGACACAATTTAGTGGCATTTGCAAACTGGTAAGCTATATTAGGCTGGGTTGCCAAGCTTTTCAATTGGCCTATGTAACTGTGCCTTTAAATGAATGATTTGATGCACCAACATTAGCAAGTAATAGTGTTTATCTGCATGCTTTGCAAGGCTTCCACTGTTGATATCTGCAGTCAGGCTGCAGCAGAACAACA